ATATGTATACACATACCAGTATATACAAAATAGGATAGATATATAGCTACTTTCACTTAGTTCATTGAGAAGAAAAATTTGTACTAAGTGTTTAGACAAGATAACATGTCTGCATCTCGTACTCTGAATAACTACTATGAAGACAATGATATGCAATGTATTAATTATTGTAACTATCTTACCTGTTTTGAAAATGTCTCATTCCTATTTCTTTCTCAATAAAAAACAAAACAAAACAACAACTGTTCTCATAGTTTGGCTTGAGGGACATCATATTTTCTTCTGACTTTCTTTCTTTTCAGTGTCCTTTGAAGTTTTTCTATTCCTGCTCAGTAAATGGAATTGCTCAGGATTCGATTCATGAGTCTTCTCCACTTTTAATTTTAAACATCCTATGGTAAGGATCTATGCCTTCAATTATTGTCTATATTATCTTAAATTTTAAAAAATCTTTTATTTATTTGGTACAGGATCTCGCTATGCAGCTCAGACTCGTAGTGATCCTCCTGTTTTCAGCCTCTCCAGTGCTGGGATTATAGGTGTGTACCACCATGCCTGGTTTTGGTCATGTGCAGAGCATGCCCAAGGTTCCAGGTCTGGCATGGCATGTGGTACCAGGGATTGAATCTGGCTCCTCGCACTTGCCAGGCAGGCACTTAGACCGCTGAGCTATCTCCCCAGCCCATATCATCTATAGTTCTTGAGGAATCAGATTCAGAGACTACACAGGGCTAGGACAAAGTATTTCTCAAAGTCTGCTATCGATGAAAATAGGTGTAATGTTCTATGGAAGAATAAGTGACTCATGACCTTGGATGGAACTCCGTTTGATGAAAGTTATAAGGCAAGTAAAAGCAGCTCCTATTAAGAATATACATTCTAGCAAAGAATGGGACCCCAACTCACTTGGGGCTTGCCAGTTAGTGAATCAGCTTCCATATTCTCCTCCTTTGTGCTGCTCTTCTGAGGGGCCGAGTCTCTGAAAGGTATACCTGAGCAAGATGAGAGAATATGTTAGGGAGACAAGTTCTGTCCTGGAGCCAGTTTTGATGACTGCAGAAGTGGGATTCATAAGAATTACCTATGAATGATTAGAACTCTGCAAAAATAATGATGTCAGGCCCTACCAGCAATGAGAATCTAATCATTAAGTACTTACTGCTTTTTTCATTGTAGATGTCCCACAGGGACTTCAAATTTAACATGCTGTATGATTAATGTATTCTGCCCTACACATATACAGAAAATACACATGTATAGCCCATTCATAGAGCGCAAGTTCACACAAAACCTTATTCTACCTACACCTTACAGCTAATCAATAATTCCTTTAGGTTTAAACTCCTTGGTTTTGCTAAGTCCCTCATTCTCTAAAACTCACCATAACAGCCTAATTGGTTTTCCAATTCTCAAATCCCTCAGTTCCATCCTTTTCATGAGAAGGTGGTGAACCTTCTGTGAAGGGCCCAATAGTAAATCATACTTTGTAGGCAATACAGTCTCTTCTGCAACTACTCAACCCTGGTCCACAGCATGAATGCAATGCGCCTGTAGTAAGTAAACAGGCAGGGTTATGTTCCAACGAAATTTACTTCTAAAATTATTTGGCCTACAGGCCATATTTTGCCAAATCTTGTTCTAGAGCGATGCTAAATGGTATTTTTAAATAGGCAAACTAAACTGTGTTATTTTCCTACTCAGTGTGAGATTTAATTCTCCATACCCATGATCTACTGTGAAGGACCACTGGGGCAACTCTCCCTGAAGGAGCAATTGTCTCAGTTTTAGTTGAAGGTGGCTCTATTTCCATGTATTGATGTGTACAGATCACAAGGTTTTTCTGTATCACTTCAATTCACTTTAAGAAATGAAAATTGGTCCAGCTGAGGTACTGATATGTACATACTCTCTGAAGCAAAAACGTCAGGGCAGTGTTCTCCCAGCCCCTTGTAGCTCCCAAATAACACATACGTGCACCAAGGTGAGGTAGGATGGAGAGCCTGCTCTATGCTGTTTGAAGAGACTGAGCCTCAAAATAAGAGGCTATGACTTCCCAGGACATAAAAGATTATACATCAGAGCTGAAGCATCAATCTCAAACATTAGATACTATCTCGATCGTGTTATGCAGATTACACTTTCTGCATGTCCTTCTCTCTGCATATGGCAGAGGTGATTTCAGGCCTCCTCCCTAGCCCAGTTCACAGTACTCTCCTACTTTCTGCCATTCTCACAATCACTCACTTTCAAGTTACCCCTTTCTTTGTGAATGAATAGAACCTGGGTTCAGCCCTGGGTTGAGGCCTTTCCAGCTAGTCATCACTGAATTGTACTTCGGACCCTTTGGCTCCCATAGTTATAAATACATCTTAGTGTCTTTATTCTCACCATAGGTTGCACTGGAAGTGGTAGATTGGAAGTGACTCACAAGAATTCCAATAACTTTTCCCCACGGGATTACAAAAATAAACTTCCTGAGCCATGACAAGGACTGGGAAGGCTCTTTATAATCTGTAGAATAAAGCTCAGGCTTCCTGCTATAGCAATTGAAAGTCCTTCATGACTTTGTACTTGAGACTCTCTAGCTTCAGAAAAGAATTAACTTTTCTTCAAGTTATCCTTTTTCTACTTTTCTACAGTCTTACCCTTGTCTTTGATCATTTCAACGGCATCCTCTACGAAGGTCACCACATCTTTGCTGCTCTTGGGATGATGTAAATTTACCCAAGCCTTGACTTCTTCAGGGAGGATTGCCAGGAACTGTTCCAGCACCAAGAGTTCCAAGATCTGCTCCTTTGTGTGAATTTCTGGTCTCAGCCACCGAAGACAGAGCTCCCAGAGTTGGTCCAGGGCTTCACGGGGCCCAGACACTTGCAAATACTGGAAATGTCTGAATTTCTGGCGAGATACCTCAGCATCATAAGCTTCTGTGACAGGGAGGGTCTCTTGCTTCCAAGACGTATCTGCTCTCGAGACTTTACTTTGTTCACATAGAGCCAGGTTTTGAGGCTCTGAGACAGCAACGGACTTGTACAGAGGCTCCATCTTCCTAAACCAAGCGCCTACTGTAGTTCAAATCCACGCTACTAGAGGACTTCAGGGCTTCTCAAGCCTGGACGGAGCACCGTTTACTATCTGCAGTATGCTCTGAATCAGGTTACATTATACTAAGGAGAAGAGTTCCAGAGGCTTCAGGTACAAATCCAATATTCAGCATCCCAAGAGACTGAAAACAAAACAAAACAAATTTGACCCATAAATAACAAAGCCCTATCAGCAGAATGTTAAGAGATAAACTAGCACCATGGTCTTAAAATTTCCTAAGAAAAACAAGCATTACACATTTCATTTTTCTTTTTCCTTAAACACAATTCTAGTGCATACCAAACAAGCACAACAGTTTAGAAAAAGAACCATCAATAAACAAAATGATTCCTTAAAATAGGATGGGTGAAAAAAAGTTAAGAAGAGGTACTGAGTCCCAGCCAAGAAATGAACTGCACCCAGATATTTTTTAAGTT